TTTATTTGAATCTACTTTCGCAACGAATTTGAGGGATCTATGTGCTTTCTCCACCTCAGTTTGCTAAGATATCCAACTTCCATGCTTAACCTTTTTGTTCACGAAAACTGATTTGATTTTCCTGTTCTACAGTTGTGTTGTGATAGAGGACAGCGGCATAGGCCTTGCAGCTGCCAAAGCCGCTGGAATGAAGTGTATAGTAACTAAGAGCGGGTACTTCCACCTTCTTGACATTCCAGATTATATTTCAAACTTATAAGATGGCTTATTTGACAATTTGGAAGGAGTTGAGTAATCTTTAGTAGTCAAATGCTTAATATGTTCACTTCATCTTTAACTCTGGTTGCAGATACACAGCCAATCAAGAATTTCCGAATGCAGATGCAGTCTTCGACTTCATTGGAGATCCCCCGGAGGAGCGATTCGACTTGGCATTCTGCGGAAGCCTTCTCAAGCAGTGAGCTAGCTCAGTTTTCAGTAATTATCTGTTCCATCTAAAATTCGTTGGATAGTGATTAGGGTTTCAGCAAAGATAATAAAAAAAATGCCAGTGCATTTTGTAGTAGTCTTGATGTATATTAAAGTGCAAATTAGCAATTCTCAAGCAGACAAAGTTTTCATTTGTGAATCTCTGGATGAAGTATTATAAGGAGCTTCCATTGCTAAGGCAAGCTTTTGGAATGATCTTAAGCTATGAATTCTTTCATTTGGATCTAGTCCAAGGTTAATTTCTATATTTATCAGTACAGGTTAATATATGTTGAAGTAAACGTTAAACAATTCTGATGAATTATTCACAATAGATTTTAGTTACACGTAGTTTCTAGGTCCATCCGAACAAAATTTTGTGTATTGCAATGACATCTGGGTCAAAGCTAGTGAACTCAGGCTAGTTGAACTTGAGTGGCTCTTTCTTGCTGCCCTCCCCTGAAATTTCTCCATTTTCTAAAGAAGATGAAAGAGTGGGTTTTTTTGGCAGACCCATCCTTCTCTGCTGGTTGAAAGAAACGTTTCATCGTCTCCCAGGCTCTGAGCTCCAACAGTGTTCGTTCCCTACTGGTACAAAGTCCTCGTCCTTCCCTTATATCTTTGGCCCTGGTTTCTGGTAAGGGGATGAACCGGTGAACCGAGACAAACTGAGTCGAA